TGTAATAGTATTAATGATAACATTAATAATGATAACAATAATATTGATTACAAAGGTGATAATGATAATGAGAATAACAATGATTATGATGATGGTAATGACAATACTACTACTAATAATAATGGTAATAATGAGGATAATAATAGTGATGATTATGATGAGAAACAATAATAATGATGATACTACTACTAATAGTTTTGATAGTTATGATAACGATAATGATAATAATGATAATCATAATAAATAGTAATAATGATAATTGTAAAGATAACAGCACTAACAATAAAGATAACGATAATGTCTTAATGATGTTGAAATGGTGATAATATTGATAAAAATAATAGTAATAATAATGATAAGAATAACGTAAAATAATGATGATAATAATGGTAATAGCAATAAGTATGATAATGATAACAAAGTATGATAATGATAAGATAATAATTATAAAATAAAAATAATGATAAGATAATTATGAGATAAAATAATTAATTATTATATTATAACATAACAATAACTAATAGTAATGATAATAATAATAGCAATGAAGATAATAAATGATAATAATAAATAATAACAATGACGATAATAATGATACTTTTAATATTAACTGTGATAATAATAATGATAATAACAAACGGGAAGAAATGGACAGAATAAGAAGAAGACACAGATAGATATTCCCTTGTTTCCCCACTTTTCTCTCTCCTCCTCCAGTCTTTTCTCTCCCTTTTCCTTCCCTTTCCTTGCTTCACCACTCCCTCTTACTCCCTAATCTCCCCTAAATTCACTCCTCCCCTCTACATCCCTTTACTTCCTCCTTCCTCCCTCTCCCCTTCTCCTTCGCTCTCTTATCCCCTTTCCCTCCTCTCCCATCTCCCCTTCTTCTGGGCCCCCTCCCCCCTCCCCCTCTAACTTGCATAACCCAATCTCTTTTCCTCTATTTCGTTCCCCTTCTCTCTGCTTCCTTCCTTTCCCTTCACCCTCTCTCCCGTTCTCCGTCTCCCTTTTCTCTTTAATCCCTTTTCCCCTCCCTCTCTCTCTTTCTCCCTTTTTTACTGTTTCCTTTCCCTTTTCCATCTCCCTTTTTAAGCCCGTATCTCCTCCCTCTTTCTTTCTCTCTTTTTCTGCTTCCTTTCCTTTCCCAATCTCCCTTTTCTCTTTAGGCCCTTTTCCCCTCTCTCTCTTTCTCTCTTTTTTCTGCTTTCCCCTTCTCCATCTCCCTTTCCTCTTTAAACCCCATCTCCCTCTCTCCCCTTTTCTCTATTTCTTCTGCTTCCTTTCTCTTCCCCATCTTCCTTTTCTCTTTAAACCCCTTTCCCCCCACTCTCTCTCTCTCTCCCTTTTCTCTCCCTTTCTTCATTTCTTCTTCTTTCTTTCCCTTCTCCTACCTTTCTCCTTCCCCAATTGGGTAGTAATGTAATAAATGTGGATAGATTGAAGGGGTAACTGCTGCAATATAGATAATGGTAATGATATTAATGATCCTATTGATGATGATGATGATTAATAATGTTAATAATGACAATGACAATGTTGATAATAATGTTAATAATGATAATGATGATAATGTTAATAATGATAATGTTGATAATTATGTTAATAATGATAATGATGATGATTACGTTAATAACAATACTGATGTGATAATGATAATGGTGGTGATAATGATAATCATAATGATAATGATATCAATAACGATGATAATGATAATAATAATAATAATAATAATAATGATGGTAACGATAATGCTGATTATGATAAATGATAATGATGATGATTATGCCAATAGCAACATCAGTAAGTGATGATGATAATGATAATGATGATAATAATGTTGATGATTTTCATGATAAAGTTGATAATCATCTTGATAGTGATAATAGCGATGATATCAGTCATTATTATTATTACCTTTATCATCACATAACCATGGGCATTGTTGAATATCTCCTTCATCTTGTTATTATGATTATGACAGTTAGTGTTATTGTCAAAATATTGAATCATATACATTGTTTCCATATATATATATATATATATATATATATATATATATATATATACATATATATATATATATATATATATATATATATATATATATATATATATATATATATACATATATAGATCATACATAAATATGTGTATATATATTGAATTATACATTGTTTTCATATATATACAGGTATAGATACATATATAATGTGTATATATATTATTACTTTTCTTACTTTTACAGATTTGAAAGGAGGGGCATAAACGCTACAGAATTATTGTTTCTGGTATTTCTAGTATTTTCGTGCACGGTTCTACATACCTGAGTGATTGACAGGTTCTGGACATATTACTCTTTATTTAATTCAGAAAGTTTTGTAACTAAGAAAATGACATGGAACAGCCAGTAAAAACTTGAGAAACAGAAAAAAAAGAAAAGAAGGAAATGTATGCTGAAAATTATTAGACAGAAAACACGGAAAAGTAGATCATTGTAAGT